AGTCATAGATGGCAGGTCAAGGTGCTCAGCAACTTTGCCTTTGTGACCTCATCTCTTCTGCCCTACATGCAGTCACACTTAGGCCTCCTCAGGCTTAAATGTTAATGAGTTTACTGAAGATTTCCAGTCATATCAAGTATATTTGCATGGTGTATTGTTTCGCACATGTTGATTCCTCTACTTTCTTATTTACTAGGAAAAAGTCTTATTTTTCCATCAAGTCTCAACTTGAACCATGAAGGAAAAGATTATTAGAATGTAGTCTGAATATTGAAAAGGTCTGTGACAAAGATCAGGAAAAGGTATTAGTATTCATGGCAAGCATAGACTTATACCCAACATCTTGTTAATAAGAGAATAGGCAGATGGGGTGGAAACATGAATTGGTGAGTTATGGAAATATGTACTTTTAGGCAAGTAATCCGAAAAAAGAATACCAGAAGTCATATTAAAATGCCAGTTTTGGGCTATTAAATTGACACTTAAACATTGTTAACATCCTGTTTTGGTTGTATAATGAAATGGACACTAATATATACTATTTTCTTAGAACTTAGAACTTTCTTAGCAGTTTGGCAATGTGCTTGTATCTTCGAATGGTAATTACATATCAGAAAAAACTAACAGGAATTGTGAGGAAATGTCAGATTAGTGTAAAGTGGTTTGCACTTATTTAGAGTTGTCTGTTTGGATATTTTGGAAAGTAGATGTTGAAGAGTTTGGAGTTTTGGATTGATAGGAGGTGGGAAGGAGAGGTAATGCCTGTTAAGAGAAAGGAAGGAAGCAGGGCTTGGGGGGAAAAAAAAAGGCTTTCAGGTCCTGATGCAGATCTGTGAAAGGAAAGAGTTGGAAAGCATAAATTGGCAGAGCACTTCGAGGGACTGCAAATCTGACCAAGTCAGGCCACCATGTGGAGAGAGTACTCTGAATAACTGTTAGGGTGGTGTGTGGGATATAGAATGGGTCAGGCTCTGACATGCCTATTGTGCTCAGTCCTATGGCGAGGGCCTGCCTGGGTAAAGAGTGATTTTTGAACTATTACTTAACTGATTCTGAGGACTCTTCACCGATAGTTTGTCAAGCTGCATGCAGTCTTTGAAGATGTGAGTGGTAAGTGGTTGACTGACCTCCAGAAGCTGCTGAAGAGATGGCCATCACCATATTATTAACATGACATAGTTAGGAATGGTATTTTTTTCTATAATAGTATTTTTTTCTAAATACTCCTTTTCTAATTAAGGGAAGGGGGTGGTAATTTCCAGGTTAGATTGTATGTGTATTTTAAGCAACATGATATACTTAAAACCTGTCTTTTTTACTCTTTTTTTACATGAACTACTATCAAGAACTTCTCTCTTTTGATGATCTTTTGAGACTGAATGTTGGTCTTTATAATTACCCTTTAATTTTTGTGTTGTTAGAGGTTATGATAAGATTGGGATAATATTTGTATGGGATTTTGGATTAGCTTAAGCTGCCCAGTTCCCACATTGTCCTCAGGGAAATTCAGGCAAGGCATGCACTTAGGAGATCTTCAAATGTATTATTTTGCTTTATACTACCCAGTCTTAATGATTTTAGTTCAATTCCTTTTTCCCCCTTCTATAGTCATTCGCTACATAATATGAAAAGGGTAATGTTGTTGTTGTTTTTAACATTTATTTATTCCTACAGAACGGGGGTATAGGCCAGAGATGCGGAGGGTGAGAGGATTCACCAGAGACAGAGTGGGGTGTAGAACAGACAGATCGATGAAGTACACTACTGAGGGGAGCAGCGGGCGGGTCAGGAGAGGTCTGCCACGCCATGTGGTCACCTCCGGGGCAGGTGGGGATCGAACTCATGCAGAAGTGGCTTTAGCTTCTCAGTGCTGTGCTTTAACCCACTGCACCACCAGGGAAGGCCGGGTAATGTTGTTTATTAGGAAAATTGGTGGCGAGCTTTAATTTTATTTTAATGTTTCCTTAACTTGCAATTTAATAAATTTATTTTAAATGAGTCTGTGGAATCTTTCAAAGTATTTTTTTAAGCCCAAGAGCTCCGTCCTCTTGAAACTCACAGCATGAACCCCAGGTCACAATTTTTGTCCTTTTCTATGTTCCCCCTTCTTCCTTCTTCCTCTTCCTCCCTCCCCTTGCCCCATCCTCCATCTTTTTCCTTTCTCTTCCTCCTTTCCTCCTTTCTCTTTTCTCCTTTGCTTCCTCCCCTCTCTTTCCCCTAAAGAATTCCAAGAAACACCTCATAGAAGGCCAGGACACAATTTGAAAAACATGGATTTTTCTTAGATTTACTTTGTAAGATTAAAAACTGTGAGAGAATGAAGCTAAAATAAAACTTTTGTTCCTCCATGGCTTATTGTCGTATCTAGAGAGAAACTATAAGGCAATTAAAAATGAATATTTGCAAATGGGCTAAAAAATTATGTAGGTGCCTATTAAAGAATCATCAAATGTTTTTCCACAATAGGTTGTTAGGAAACAGGTTATATACTGTATTTCTCCAGAGAGAACCAAGGACAAAAATCTGCACCACGTCTGTTGTATTGTCCATAGTTCCTAAACTAAAATTTTGAGGGGGAAAACCAGATCTACTTTGAACTACCCTAAGTATTCTGGTACTTTTTTCTTAGAGTCATGATATCTACTATAACTTTGTACATATATAAGCAAATATGTGTGTGTGTGTTTTATAAATGCACACACACGCACACATCTATACCTATGTACGATGCCTTTGCCAGGAATTACAGGTACTGTTTTAGTTTTTCTTCTGGCTAAGAGGTATATAGACTAAAATACACATGTGTTTGTGTGTGTATATATTTAAAATACAAGCTAAAGAAAAAAGCTATGTAGTCAAGTTTGAGCAGTGCTTTTGTTAGTCTTCCTACAAGGATATTGTGATCAAATGTTAGGAATTGATATTTCTGTGAGCTTAAGGTTAAGGGCCATGTGTCACACCTCGTGAGACTCTCCAGTATCCAATTTAAAGATTTGCACATATTAAATAGGTAGTCAGGGATAAAGCATTCTGGATTTTTTAAATTTATGGTTTACTGTTGGAAAGACTGGCCCAACTATTGTCCACTTGTTATTTTATCATCAGTAGTGTTCTATTTATGAAAAACTGTCTTCTTTCAAACCTTATTTTGAAAAATTGACTAGTAGAAACTTTAGAAAAGTAGAAAATAAAAGCAGGTTTTGGAATAGTTTTATGTGATGTATATTGTTGGATCAAAATACGTATGAAACAGATTTTAAGTAGGTTTTTTGGCAGGTGTTCACAGATGTGGCAAATGAATAAAGTAGTTTTTGACATGAACTTAACACAAAAGACAAAAATGTAACCAAGGTTTTATTAGCGAAAATTTAATGGTACATGAGTATAATGTTATTTTTGTAAAATCTTTTTAAAGCAAATGTTATCAGCCAACTGCTCACTAAAGCAGCATTTCATAAAAAATCTAACCATATTATATTATATTAAAAATTGAAAGTTAGTCTCACTAAGTAATTTTCACTAAGGTTCTATAATTGATAGCATAAAATAATCCAGTTAATTTAGATGTGTTCCCATACTTCCATCACTGCTGTTGCTGATAGCATATTCTACCAAGAAGTAATACTGAGCATGGATATTGTACTCTGTTTATTTAACCTAAGACTCTTAACAGAGAGGAAATATTTTCCCTGCCATTTACTTGCCTTTACTACATTAGACTCTCTAGATTGACACTGAAGTTTTCTTTTTCAGCCAGCTACTCGTGTATTCTCCCTAATCTGTTTCTTAACCTCATTTCTAACTTTGCATTTGGAGACCAGTGAACCCTTTTCCCCACCAAATTCCTATATTCACTATTTTCTTTCTTTTAATATAAATTCTTTCTACCTCTGGGGCTCAGGGATTTTTTTTTTTAATTTAAATGCCACATGATCAGATGCTACACCACTTTCTTGACTCAGTTCATTATCATTATCTTCCTTGAAAACTCTTTCAATTTTAATGATCTCCTCATTTCTCATCTTCTTATCTTCATAGCCATCACTGCTCTTTATAGTCTTCTCAATTTTCTATCCTGGAATAGGAGAGGGACATGGTTCACACAGTGGCTCAGAGTTAACAGGGCTTCTTACAATGCTAGGGTCTAGAGGGAGGATGGTGTGGCATATGTAAGTTAAATACAAAAATCTTAGGTCAATTTTGTACACTTATTATATATGTGTGGTTTCTTTCTTTTTTTTAATTGTGAAATTATGGTCATTACCAGTCCTTTTTGTCATGTTTTTGTATATGAATTTCTTCTGAGGGAGCAATTTCACTTTGGAACAGTGTGTTCAATTAGTTACTCAGGATTTAGAATCACTGTATATATGCAGTGGTTCAGTCAGAAGGCCAGAAATATATATAACCAGGAATGTACAGGGAGGGAATGAGGGGGGAAGATTGGTTGTGTGCATTCTACAAAACCAAGTCATAATGCTACTGGTATATCTGTGTGGGGGGATGGTGCCTGCAATGATGAGGTTCTCCCTTTTAGGCATGTGTATGGACAAAGTTGTTCATTGTCATTAATGTCTAGGAAACTGCTTAAAGATAGACTGTCGTTATACTGTAGTCTACACAACAGAATGATGTACAGAAAGAATGTGGTAGATCCACATACTGTATTTTTAAAGCTTATTTAAGCTCAGTAGCTTATTTTCCCTTTTTAATGTCTTTTTATAAAAAGTTTTTGTCTCCCAAAGGTAAATGAGAATTTAATTGTTTTTTTTTTAACTGCAGTTTATTGGGGGTGTAGGTAAGTGCATTAATGTTTATGTTAAATATTATGCTCACATGCTTACACTCATATTTACAACAAGGGACATAAGTTACAAATATGATTCATTTCTATATTTTACAAGTTAAACTTAATTATTGTATAATTCTTTTTTAAGTTTATTTAGTTTTAGGGATTTTTAGAGTCAGTTTGTGTTTTAAGTTATTTTTTTCTCTTTCAGCTCTTTCAGTCTCATATGGCAACAAAAACAACTTGCATATCCTCACAAGTATCTGATGATGAACAGAGAGTGAGTTATTCTTTAATATAGATTTCAAAATAACTGCTCAGAGATCTGACAGATCTCTGGAACTTTTATGTTCATTCAAGTTCAAAAAAATCAGCGAGGAATAATATTGAGCATGCAGTGTGTCTGTCTTACTTGATATGAAACATTAAAACTCTACCTGCTTTCACATCATTCAGTAGGAAGATACTAGCTTTTGTGAGGTTTGCAGGACTTGTTGGAGGTAGAGAACTTCTTTAGTGAGAGTAGGAAGTTTGCTGGACAACCTTCCTGATTGTGTACCCAGATGTTAGTGCTTCCAAGGCTGCATAAGTATCACCACACTGATAAAAAGACAGTTGTGGAGCATGCTACATAATGCAGGATGCTGCTGAAGAGCAAGATCCTGGCCTTTTTATTGGTAAAACTAATCACACAGCATTAATCATGTGAGGAAATAAAAAAAAAAAAAAGGAGAATTAGAAGAACCTGGGGATAAGGTGGAACTGTGCATCTGCTGATAGTTTTGTATGTAGATCAACCCTGACTCCTCAGTCAGATTTCAGTCTTACCAATAAGGTATTCCACTGATCAGCTTCTGGGGTCCTTCGTAATACATTAGTCAATGGTCCCCCGGGCATTCCCAGTCATACCTCATGATGCATACCCTTCCCAGGGTGATCTAGCTTTATACTCTTAATTGATGTGAAAGGTACCTCATAGGGTTGGGCTCTTAAAATGGAGGCTGGATAAGCCACCTAGGGTTAGCAGACCCACAGTATAGGAGGGATTTGGTAATTCATATATAACAGGGAGTTTTAAAAGAGGGAGTAATTTAACTTGGTGAAAGAGATGGAATATGAATGAACATAAAAGTTCCAGAGATCTGTCAGATCTCTGAGCAGTTACTTTTTATCATTTTTTTTCTATTTTTTATTACAAAAGTTTATTTTTACATCATTTTGTACATTTTTTTTCCATCTCGATTGTAATCCCCGCGGGTTTTATCATTTTTTAAATGAAAACTGTAAAAACATAATTAGTAATTCAATAATTAAATTTCCTTTAGTTCTATAGTCCAGTAAGTCTCTTGCCTTTCTTTGTTACATATGCTAAGGTCCAAATGTTTATTTTTATTTTGACTCTTGTCTTTTTTTCCTGTCATTTTCTATTTCTGTTTTTGTAAATCTTGTAATACATTATTGTTGTTGCTTTAAGCAGCCAATGACTTTTTTTAATTAAGCATAAATTTTCTACTCTTCAATCCACACTTACCTTTCTGTCATTCTTCATTCTTTTTTTGTAGATTTCATCTGTTGTCATCTTTTGAAGAATTTACAATATTTCGTGTAGAGTATTGCTTGCAATAAATTTTCTCAAAATTTTAAGATACCTTATTTATTCCATTGCATATAGACTTCTAGGTTGCCATTTTTTCTTTTAGCATGTAACTGATTTTATTTTGTTATTATCTTATGGCTTGCATGATTTCATATGAGAAACTGTACTTTTTACTTCTCCCCCACCTGGTGGCTCCTGATGTTTTTCTTTACCTTTGTCTTTAAGCCATTTGCTCTGATGTGCCTAATTCTGGGTTCTTTTGGATCTTTTTGTTGTAGTTTGCTGCAGTTCTTGGATTTCTGAGCTCATGTTTAAAATCTTGGTAAAATGTCACTTGTTAAATATTTCCTTACTCCCTTACATCACCTACCTCTCCCCACTTTATGTGATATCCAATGATAAGTATATTCAATTATTTGCTATTTATCACTTCACAGGTTTTTGAGCCTCTTACTGTTTTATCCTTGTTGGGAAAATTTTTTAGATTGAATAATTACAGATATTTAGCTTGGAAAATAACTACTGAACTAATCTTTCATTGTGTGATCTTAGGTCCATATACTATTAACTTTTTAAATTTCAGATACTGTGTTTTTCCTTTCTAGGGTTTTCATTTGTTACCTTGTTCTTAAGAGCTTTTGCCATATCTTTTATTATTCCCTGTCGAATCATTCATTACATCCATGTCTTTGCTGTAGAGAAAGAATAATATTTTTCTTTAGCATTATTAAATAGTATATTTAAAGTTCTTAACAGGCAATTCAATATTTGGAAATTTGGATCTTCTGTTGACTTTTTTTTGCTATCATGTTTTTTGGCTTTCTATGTTGTAAATTTTGATTGTATAATAAATTTTGTAGATATACATTGTAGAGGTTCTACATTCTGTTCTTTTAAAGAGTAAACATTGTTGTAGCAGGCAGGTATTACTGACTGGTCAGTGACTGTGTTGAGCCTTGATTATAGGCTTTGTTAGTACAAGTATATTTTTCTGTTCCTTCTATACTGGGGAGCATTTCTGATTTAGGATGTGAACCTAAAATGTACCCATTTAGGCTTTCAGTGGAAACCCTAATGTGTTTCCAAATTCTTTTAACTTACTTAAAATTCTGTTCCCTAGGATGGAACTCTTGAAAACTCTACATACCTCCTTCCAATTCGCATTTCCCCTTGCTAAGCTATTTGCATTCTTTCTACATATATGTAGTTCAGCAGTCAGTTGCAGATTTGAAGACATAGATTTTTTTTTACTCTCCTTAATGGATTTTTTTTTTTAAAGATTTATTTATTTGTGCGTACAGAATTGGGATACAGGCCAGAGGCTCAGGGGCAGTGAGAGGCTTCACCAGAGACAGACTGGGTAGCAGAACAGGCAGATCGATGAAGTACACTGCTGAGCAGCGGGTGGGTCAGGAGAGGTCTGCCACACCATGTGGTCACCTCCGGGGCAGGTGGGAATCAAACTCATGAGGAGAAGCGGCTTTAGATTCTCAGTGCTGTGCTTTAACCCGCTGCTTCACCAGAGAGGGCCCAGGAATTTTTTTTAATAGTTTATTTTTACATAATTGTGTGCCTTTTTCCATCTCAGCTGTACTTCCTGTGGGCTTCTCATCACCAGATCATCCATGTGCCATCACCATAGTCCAGTGCACATGCTCCCCTCCTTGTTTTTGACCCCATTCCCCACCTCCACCCCCATAAAATATGTCTGGTATATAGTTGGTCATCATTATTATTTTTCCCCTGGCCCTTTATGCTCCTGCTATGAGTGAAACCATCTGGTATTTTTCCTTTTCTTTCTGGCCTATTTCACTAAGCATGATCCCTTCCAGTTCCATCCATGTTGTTGCAAAAGGCATGAGTTTATCTTTTTGATTGCTGAGTAATATTCCATTGTGTATCTGTACCACCGCTACTAAATTCAGTCATCTACTTTTGGGCATTTTGGTTGATTCCATGTAAACATGGGGGTGCAGCTGTCTTTTAGAATCAGTGTTCTTGTGTCTTTTGGGTAGATGCCTAGGAGTGGGATTGCTGGGTCTTATGGAAGCTCCATTTTTAGCAGTTTGAGGAACCTCCAAACAGTTTTCCATAGTGGGAGCTTGCACTCCCACCAGCAGTGCAGGACAGTTCCTTTTTCTCCACCTCCTTGCTAGCATTTGTTGGTGCTAGTTGTTTTAAGGCGTGCCATTCTCACTGGTGTGAGGTGGTCTCTCATTGTCTCTCATTGGTTTTAATTTGCAATAATACAAGTGATGTTGAACATTTTTTCATATACTTGTTGGCCATCTTCAGTTCCTCTTTGAAGAAGTGTCTTTTTAGCTCTTCTGCCTATTTTTTTATGGGGTTGTTTATTGTTGTTGAGTTTCATCAGTTCTTTGTATATCTTTGTGATCAATCCTTTATTGGTAGTATTGTGTGAGAAAATTTTTTCACAACCAGTGGGATGTCTGTTTTTTGTAATGTTTGGAATTTCCTCTTTTAATTCCTTTAATTTTTATTCATTCATGGTCTTCCTTGTCTCCAACTAACTTCTCAGCTATTTATATCCTGAACTTTATATTCTTTCTGTAGCAGTGATTGATGAGTACCCTTATGGGCAAAGCCAGAAAATGCGCCTCTCATTTTCTGTGTAGTTTCATTTCTCTCAAAGTTTCCTCCTTTGTTTGACTTTGGTTACATTCTAGTGATTTAACAGTATTGATTAGTAGGTAAGTTTGACATGTTACTCTTCCATTACTGGGAGCTGTAACTATTTTAAAAAGTACTTTGTACTTTTTTCAGTTGAAATTTTAATGTAAGAATTAAAAAATGTGTTATGAGCATGTTAATAACTTAACGTTCTGTATTTTCTTAATGTTCTGTAAATACTTGGGTATTTTCTACTTTTGAGAATCAAATACTTTACTGTTATAAATAATACTGAACTTTTATCATATGAAGGAAGTAAGAAATTTGAGTATCTAAACACAGATTTCTCAAAAATTCACTTCATTTTTTTAAGGATGTAAGAAAAAGGTCTAATTTATTTGACAAACTATTTTTCAGATGTATATACAATTGTAAAAGGTTTTCTTACATTTCTGCTGTTTTTATTTTCATTCAGCAAAAAAGAGAAAATACTCGTTCTTTAACTATGTCTGATCATGTTGGTTTTGAGAGTTTGCCTGATCAACTGGTCAATAGATCCATTCAACAAGGCTTCTGCTTTAATATTCTCTGTGTGGGTAAGTGCCATAACTCTCCCTTTAAAATATTTCTTCATACATCTTGTGCTCATCTCCATCATGTGTTAAGCAATATAATGATATATGTATATTATCAATTTGAGACTATGATCATGAGGTTTTCTGTCAGTTTTTTGTTTTTGTAGTGCTTTAAAAAAATTTTTTTTTTAACATTTCAGTGCTGTCTTCAGAGTTCGAGTAACTTAACCGTGTTTTTTGTGTGCTCTGCTTTTATTTTAGTGGACTAGATTTAGCATGTTAGTTCTTTCATGGACTCAACCTTTGATAATTTAAAGTATGGACCCAACCCAACTTTTGATAATTTAAAATATTTGAGATCCTGAAACCATTCTAGTTTACAGTTCAATTTTTTTCCTCCTTTTTCTTTTGCACTTGTTAACATGTGTTTTGTTTTGTTTCAGGGGAGACAGGTATTGGAAAATCAACGCTGATTGATACATTATTTAATACTAATTTTGAAGAACATGAATCCTCACATTTTTGCCAACATGTTAAACTTAAAGCTCAGACATATGAACTCCAGGAAAGTAGTGTTCGATTGAAATTGACCATTGTAAATACAGTGGGATTTGGGGATCAGATAAACAAAGAAGAAAGGTACATGTTTTCTTCTTGTTACAAAACAAGTTTTTCTTATTTCAAGAGATTTGCTTTTATGACCTATGACTTGATTTTCTGTTATGGAAATTCACACCTTTTTTCAGTACTTTAACTTTCATAATAATTAAGCAATATTTTGTGAACAAATTGACTTTTTTATCTAATGATAACCTGAATCATATTATTAAAGTCTATTATAGGAAAAATTGTTTTTATTATATTTCTAATATGCCAGTTAGTGTATACTAATTGATACATCTCATTATGGATAAGGACTTACCTTGTTAAGGGGGGGGCGGGAAGCAAGATAAATAATGGAAAATAGAAATAATGACCAAATCTGCAATGTGTGAATACTTTTGCTTGTGAATTCTAACCAAAGTAGATGTATTGTTAAGCATTACACAGTTTTAAGATGAATGTTTTGTCATTTTTTGCCAATTTATATTGTGATTTTTTGCATTTCTCATGGGATTTTAAGAATTGAGTATAGATTATGAAATTTAAACTAAAAGGAGGAAATAGATTGGAATAAAACTATAGTCTTTTTGAAGTATATATATCCTTTTTACATGTAATATCCTAGTTATGTTTGCTTTAGAGGGAAAGTATTTGCTAAACTGATTCTCTTTATTAGCATTTTAAGCACATTTATGTGTTTTACCTTAAAATTTTAAGAGGAATTTTAAGAAATGATTTGTGTGGATTTTCTGAAAGCATAATCTAAAAATACTGGCATTTTTACTTTTCCTTTGTAGTTTTTTTTTAAGTTTTATTGATGTGTAATTGAATAAAATGTACAGTTTGAAATGTACAATTTGTTAATTTTGACAAATGTATAATATTCTAACTGCCGCCACAACTAACCCAGTGCACATATATTGGCACATTTTCCATGTTCAAATCAGAGCTTTGACAAAGACTCCCAGGGACTCTTCTCCAGATTTCTAGCTCTTTTCTGTGGGTGTTGCTTCTACCTCACCAAACTTTTGTTTCTCTCTCCTCAGTATCTTCTGTCAGGATATGTGGTTTCTTTTTGTTCTGTGCTCTGGAAACTTGTCCCCAGTAGTAAGCTGAAGCAATCGCAGTGCTTAGTATGTCCCTCATTTATTCCCGTTTCAGTGATCATAGTTAAGTCTAGTGACCTTTTTTTTTTTTAATAATAGTTTATTTTTATATCATTTTGTGCCTTTTTCCATCTAAATTGTAATCCCCATGGGCTTCCCATCACCATACCAGCCATGTGCCATCACCATAGTCCAGTGCACTGCCCTCCCCCTAAAGTTTGTGATCCCATTACCCATTCCACCCCCGTAAAATGTCTCTGGTATATAGTTGTTCATTGTTATTATTTTCTCCCCTGGTCCTTCAAACTCCTCCTATGAGTGAAACCACCTGGTATTTTCCCTTTTCTTTCTTCTTATTTCACTAAGCATGGTCTTTTCCAGCTCCATCCATGTTGCTGCAAAAGGCATGTGTTTTTTTTTTTTTTGGGTTGCTGAGTATATGTTTGGTTCCATTGTGTATATGTACCACAGCATTTTAATCCAGTCATCTACATTTGGGCATTTGGGTTGTTTCCATGTCTTTCCAATTGTAAATAAGACAGCAGTAAACATGGGGGTACAGGTATCTTTTTCAATCAGTGTTTTTGTGTCATTTGAGTAGATACCTAGGAGTAGGATTGCTGGCTCATATGGAAGCTCCATTTTTAGCAGTGTGAGAAACTTCCAGACATTTTTTCATAGTGTTTGTACTAGTTTGCATTCCACCAGCAGTGCAGGAGAGTTCCTTTTTCTCCACCTCCTTGCCAACATTTGTTGTTGCTAGTTGTTTGAAGATGTGCCATTCTCACTGGTGTGAGGTGGTATCTCATTGTGGTTTTAATTTGCATCTCCCTTATGACGAGATGTCCAACATTTTTTTATATGCTCGTTGGCCATCTGCATTTCTTCTTTAGAGAAGTGTCATTTTAGCTCTTCTGCCCATTTTTTGATGGGATTCTTCATTTTTGTTGAGTTTCATCAGTTCTTTGTATATCTTGGTGTTTATCCTTTATTGCTAGTTTTGTGTGAGAAAATCAGTGAGATATCTTTTTGTCTTTTGTAATGTTTTGTAATGTTTCTTTTGCTGTACAGAAGCTCTTTAACTTGATGTAGTCCCATCTATTTATCTTTCCTTCACTACTGAAATGTATGTCATGTAGTGTTTCACCCCATCTTTGCTTCCAGGTATTTTATGGTTTCCATTCTTATGTCTAGGTCTTTAATCCACTTTGAGTTGATTTTTGTGTATGGTGTGAGATAGTGATCTAGTTTCATTATTTTGCACATAGCTTCCCAGTTTTCACAGCACCATTTGCTGAACAAACTTTCTTTGTTCCATTGTATCTTCTTTGCTCCTTTGTCAAAGATTAGCTGCCCATAAACCTGTCCTTATTTGCAGACAGAATGTTAATTTACATGGAAAACCTTGAAAACTCCATAGAGAAACTAATCCTAACAATCAGCCAGTTTAGTAAGGTAGAATAGAAAATCAACATAGAGAAACTAATCCTAACAATCAGCTAGTTTAGTAAGGTAGAATAGAAAATCAACACACAAAGTCAGAGGCATCAGTATGAACAACCAATCAGAACAAGCAGAAAAAAAAGAAAACCATCCCTTTTTCAATAAAACAAAAAGAATCAAATACCTAGGAATCAACCAAATAAAGGAGGCACAAGGAAACTATGAAACACTGTTTAAAAAAAAAATACAAGAAGACACCAAGAAACTCATGTCTTTTCCCTGTCTTTTGCTCTGGCTAGAACTTCCAGTGTTATGTTGAAGAGCAGTGGTGATAGTGGACACCCATGTCTTGTTCCTGATCTCAAAGGAAAGGCTTTCAGCTTTTCTCCATTGAGGATAATACTTACTGTGGGTTTGTCATACCTGGCTTTTATCATGCTGAGGTTTGTTCCTTCTATTCTGAGGATTTTGAGGGCCTTTAACATAAGGATGTTGAACTTTGTCGAAAGCCTTCTCCGAATCTATTGATATGATTACGTGGTTTTTATTTTTCTGTCATTTGATGTGATGGATTATATTAATTGATTTTCTAATGTTGAACCATCCTTGTGCTCCTGGGATAAAGCTCACTTTGTCATGTGTCGGGGTGCCCGGGACCCCAATCCCCATGATTCAGCAGCCAAAATGGCGCCTGGCCTTTAGCCAGTGAAAAACAAAATACGCCAACACCCACCTGTATAAGGAAGTTAAATCTTATTGGATATGCTTCCGCTGATCAATGTATGCTCATTGTGTGTCCTGTCTAAATATGGTTGTTGTACACGTGAGCAGTGCTCTAATTGGCCAATGTACACGTGAGCAGTGCTCTGATTGGCCAATGTACACGTGAGCAGTGTTCTGATTGGTCAATGAATGCTATTTAAGCAACTGCCATAACAGACTGGGGGGGGCAGGAGGGAGGAGGCAAGCAAGTGCGAGAGAGAGAGAGAGAGAGAGAGAGAGAGAGAGAGAGAGAGAGAGAGAGAGGGAGGAGGGCGCGCACGAGAGGGAGAAGAATAAAGGGTCCAGAAGAAGATATATCGTGGCGTCTTTCTGTTGGCAGAGAGTGCGTCACAGTCAATACATTGTTGGATTCTGTTGGCTAAGATTTTGTTGAGGATTTTTGCATCGGTGTTCATTAGGGAGATTGGTCTGAAGTTTTCTTTTTGTGTGTTTTCTTTGTTAGGTTTTGGTATTAGTATGATGTTGGCTTCATAGAAAGTATGTGGTATATTCCTTCTTTTTTTGATGAATATGTGTAGAATAGGCACTAGTTCTTTTCTGAAGGTTTGGTAAAACTCATTTGTTAATCCATCTGGTCCTGGGCTTTTATTTTTGGGGAGGGTTTTGATTACTTCTTCCATTTCCTTTCTTGTAATTGGCCTGCTTAGTTGTTTATAGTATTCTCTGATTATTCTTTTTATTTCTGCTGGATCTGTTGTGATTTGTCCTCTTCATTTATGATCCTGTTTATTTGTCCTTTCTCTCTCTTTTTTTTTATTTGTAAGCCTGACTAGTGGCCAGTCTATCTTGTTTATTTTTTTTGAAGAACCAACTTTTGGTTTCATTGATTTTTTTTTCGAGTGTTTTCTTAACTTCTATTTCATTTATTTCTGATTTGACTTTTATTATTTCCTGTCTTCTACTTGTTTTGGGGTTACTTTGTTCTTTAAGGTGGGAGATTAGGTTGTTTCTTTATTTCTTGTTTCTTTATGTAACCCTGTATTGCTATGTATTTCCTCTTTTAACTGCTTTCAATGTGTCCCATAAGTTTTGGAGACTTGTGTCCTCATTGGTATTCTTCTCCAGGTATTTTTTAATTTCTTCTTCTTTGATCTCCTCATTGATCCAATAGATTTCAGTCTCCATGCAGTATGTGGGTTTCTTGCCTTCTTTACGTGGTTTATTTCTAGTTTGATTCCTTCATGGTCAGAGAAAATGGTTGGTATATTGATTTTAGTATATCTACTGATTTTTGCCGTGTGTCCCATTATGTGGTCAACTCTTGACAATGATCCACATGGATTTAAGAAAAATGTGTACTCAGATTTTTGGGGGTGCAGTATTCTATAGATGTCCACTAGACCCATGTTGTCCAGGTCCTTGTTCAGAGCTTTAGTGTCTTTGCTTAGTTTTTGTCTTGTTGATCTGGCCATTGTTGAGAGTGGTGTATTGACTTCTCCTACTATGTATGTATTTTCTCTGATATACATTTTCATAGATGACAGAGTTTCTTGATATATTTTGGTACTCCATCATTTGATGCATGTATGTTGTATTGTCTCCTTAATCATAATGGCCTTCTGTGTCTCTCTTAACCTTCTTTAGTTTGAAGTTATTTTGTCTGATATAAGTATAGCTGTTCCTGCCTTCTTTTTTGGTCCATTTGCTTGTAGAATTGTTTTCCATCCTTTTATTTTTAATCTATTTTTATCTTTTGTAGTTAGA